CTCCATATCTGCCTGCTTAACCCCCACAAACCCCTCACCATCAACACACCCCCAAATTGCCCTGTATGTCCCCATCACAATAAATGGCTGCACCATCTACCTGGTCCCTGAAGCCAGAGTCCCAGAGTCATCTAAGATGCCTCCCTCACCCCACATCGAGTCAATTATGAGTCCTGCCAAGTTCGCCCATTTAGGTTTTGGTACCTGCTCTGGTACCCCTGTCTCTTGCTCACTCCCACCCTTGCTGGGAAGCCTGTCCTGACCAACCAAGCAGGGCGACAGACACTTCTCCAGTTTTCTCTCATCACGGTCCACCACTGTTTACTTGTCAGTCTCCTGAGCCAACCTGTGAGCTTCCAGAAGGCCAGGACGGGGTCTTGTTCATCTCCAAATCTCCAGCCTTTAATAAGGCGGGGTTGACAGTAGATGCTGCATGAGTGTTTGTTAAATGAATGAGTGAATATAGTGTGTATCTCCTATTTGAACAGCTCCTGTAATAGGGAGCTCACTCATCCTGGGATGAACTGCTTGGTTTTTAAAGAGTTTTAATGGTTATAAAACAAAACAAAATAGACAACTCCGTCTTGGACTGAGCTGAAGTCGATGCTACAGGAATCTTGGCTTTGTCTTCTGGAGCCACCTAGACTGGCTGGGGCCTCGTTTCTCTTAGTGTGATCCAAGAACCGACAGCATTGGTGTTACTTAGGAACTTGTTAGAAATGCAAATTCTCAGGCCCCGCCGCACATCTAAACTCTGGGGGTGGGATGAGCAATCTGTTTGCACAAGCCCTCCAAGTGATTCTGGTGTCCAATAAAATTTGAAAATTGCTGCTCTTGACCACAGCCCCCCAACTGCTGGTCCATAGATGGGCTATATCAGAATGACCGGGGGAACATTGACAATTTCATCCCTAGAGATTTCAGTTTAGAAGATCTGGGATGGGTCCCAGGTAGGACTGACATGTAAAATATAGGACACCGAGTTAAATTTGAATTTCAGATAAAAAAATGAATAATTTCTTAGTAGAAGTATGTTCCAAATATGAAATTCAAATTTAATTTAACTGGGGATCCTGTCTTTTTATTTGCCAAACCTGGCAACCCTAGCCAGACATCTCTACTTTTAACAAGCCTCTTGGCAGATTCAGCCAGGTTTGACCTAAATCCTCCACAGTCCTTCAAATATTTGAAGACAGGTATTCCGACCACCTGTATATTCTCATAATCCCCCCTGCTTAACATCATATTTTTGTTGATATGCCCTAAGATAACACGCACTTCTGGCAGCCACATCATGATATCGATTAAAATTGAGTCTGTGATCATTGAAAATCCCCAAATCCTTCCTAAATATGCTGCTTCTAAACTGTGTCTATCCCATTCCTATTTTAGTTTGGGACCCAGCTTCAGAATGTGACATTTCTCACTATCTTGTTTCTCCTTCTTAGATTCTTCCATCATCTCAGTCTGTTGAGTCCTTTTAGATTCCGACTCTGTATTTATGAGCAGGTTGTGTCCTCAGTGGATCTGATTGTCAGGCTATCCATGTTCCATCCAGTCACTAGTGAACATATTAGAGCAGCCATGAGTGAGGACAGAGCCCTGTGGTTCTCCACTAAATACCTGCGTCTAATATGACATTGACCCATGAATCAGCTCCTTTTGTGTAGAAGTCAATTAATCAACCAATTACAACAGTACAGACATTAGTGCCCACCAGCACCATGTCTCCTTATGAAATCTCACAATTATTTCTTAAAAGATAATATCAGATGCTTCACAGAGAAACCCTGTGCCTGCTGTAACCCCCCTAGTCTGCTGGCCCAACAACTGCAACTTGGAAGGAAGTGGGCTTCATGTGCAATGACTCAGGTCTCTCTGTTAATGACCTGCCTCAGATCCCTGCCTGGTGCCTCTGCAACTCACCAGGTGAAAGTGGTAGAACCCGCCATCTGTCCTAGTGAAAGGCCAGCGGCATCTGCCGTCCCCTCTCTTCATACCACTCTCCCTTCCTCCTCAATCATTTCTGCAAGGATTACCCTCAGCGAGCTAGCAAAGATACCCAGGCATTCTCCTAGTGCTGGGGCTGGAATTTCTTGGAGTTTGGAGATCTGAATGCCTTCAAAACTACCCCCACCAGCTCTCCCTCCCTGCCCCCCACAAGCTCCAGCCAAGTTCTAGGCTGGGGAGCCTTGCCCGGGTCCGAGGGAAGAAGTGCAGAGCAGCATTGCTCAGTCCCCGCTCTGAGAGCTCTTGCTGGAGCCTAGTGCCTTCTCCGTCCACCCTCAGAGCGCCTCCTGCATTGCCTGGTGCTGGGGCAGGCTCTGAGGAGCCAGGATGAAGGGATGTCCCTTCCCCTCAAAGGGCTCACAGTCTACAATGGGAGTCAGATACAAATGACAAACCAAACCTTAGTATCTAAATGTCATGTCAAAGAGGTGTGGACAAAAACCGCAGGAGCACAAAGAGGAAATGACTTATCCTTCCTGGAAGAGGGGAACACTCCAGAGGAGGTGACTTTGGGGCTGGGCCCTGAAGGATGAGTTGAAGTTCCCAAGATGGAGAAGAGGGGAAACCACATGGGCAAAGGCACACAGGAGGAAGCAAGAGCACATGTTTGGGGGAGGATGACTGAGGCTGAAAGGCTGGGTGTTGGCTGCAGGATGGAGGGCAGCGAGGGATGAATTTGAGAGACAGCGTACGCCGGACGCAAAGGGGCCTCATGGCCATATTAAGGACTGGGTCACGTGTCCCTCTATCCTCCTCCTCTGTAATTGTCTCTGATTGGTTCAGCCTGCGTGCATTGAGCTCCACCTGCACTGGGCACTTGGCTGGCACTAGGAGTTGAAAGCTAAGCTGCCCTCAGCCCAGTGGGAGCCAGACCTGTGAACCCACAGTGACAACAGCAAGTGGCAAAGCTCTGAGAGGGTAGCACCAGACACAGGGGGAAGGCGATTGTGCCTATGAGTGGTGACTTTGAGGACAACTAGGAGTCAGGGAAAGAACATCTCAGGGAAAGGGAGCAGTGAGTGGGTGGGAGGGGGGAGGATGGATGTGGTGGGGCTGAAGGGGATGAGGCTGGACCGGGACACAGGGCCACGTCACGACTTAAGCCAAGGTGTTGGAAGTCACTGGAGGCATAACCAGGGCATGACAGGGCCTGATTTGCTCCTGGGCCAATCTGCCAGGCCGCCAGTGGAGGATGGAGGTCCGAGGGCAGGGAGGCCAGGCACGAGGATGAGGCAGTAGATGGGAGGGCTTGGATCCAGGGGAGGGCAGGAGGTGGATAAGTGTGAGCGATGTTGAGAAGAGGGGATGAGGAGCCAAACATGACGACAGGTGAGCTGCAGTGGGCCAGGGCATGAGGGTCTCCAAGCTCCACACATGTCCCTGGCTCAGGTGACCAACAGATGGAGAGGTTACCCTCAAGCTGGGCACCATGGCCAAGGCTGGTGGGAAGCAGGGCTCTCAGAGCTCTCCGTGGGGCGTGGGAGTAGGCGATGCTTGTGGGGCATCCCAGGAGAAGGCCTGATGGAACCGAGGTACAGGGCTGGTCCAGGGACAGAGGTGGGAAGCTGGCAAGGTTTGGGGTGCAAAAGGAGTTAGAACGGCTTTGATCTATAAGTCCCCAGGAACTCCCTTCTCCTGAGGAGTCTGGATGATGCTCCCAGGCACAGGTGGGGATCAGAGGCTCAGAGAGGGCAGTGACATCCTCAGGATCACACAGCAAAGAGTGGAAGAACCCAACCTAGAACCCAGGGACTTGGGATTCAGGGGGAAGGACATATGAGAAGAGCTATGTTCTCATCACCACTGTCACCTCCTGTCACTCTGTCCCCTTCAGAGCCTCTTGTGCCTCTCACAGTCCCTCTCTCTTTTCTGCCTTCCAGTTTCTTGTCTCTTCACACCCCCACCCCATTACACTGAGGCCAGAGAGGGGAGGGTGTGTTGGGGGAGGAGTTGCAGCGAAGGCCCCATCCAGGATGTCCAGGCAGGCCCAACCCCTTCTCTTCCTACCTCCCTCTGCTCCTTCCCTCCCTCCCATCCCACTCCCTGGGAAGGAGGCCTCCGTGTTGCTTAGCAACTAGCAGAGCCTTGGAGAAAGGAAATGGAAATAGCTCAGGAGGTGCCTCCCCTCTGTTAAGATAGAAGTCCTTGGTGTGTGTGTGTGTGTATCTGCTCTACTTCAGGGGGCCTAGTGTGAAGTCAGGGCCTCTTACTTCTAAGCCATGCTGACTCCCCCCTTACCTTGAGACTGCAAGAGGACATGGCTGCCTGGAAAGCTAATGCCAATATCACCTTTGGTCACATCATCAAAAACAGTGTTTCCAGAAAAAAGGAGGAGACAGCCCTGTGGGCCTCAACCTGGGCGAGCCCCCTGCCTGGAATGTTGGCTCTGGAGAAGTTAGCCAGATCAAAGTGAGAAAACTGAGAACCGCATCTGGAGTTGGAATGGAGTTGAACTTGGAGAAAGTTCCGTCTTCCTCTCTCTGTAGGGCTGCTCTGGGAGCAGACTGGAAGGCAGGAGCATGTGTGGTCTGTGACCTCCCTGGACAGAGGCAGCCAGGACAGTGGGCCTGGCGTGTGTGTAAATGGTTTAAACTGAGCCTGAAGGGGAAACACAACTGGGTAGTTAGTGCGGTGTGCACCGACACATCCCAGCCCAGGCATTCACACGAGGCAGAGAGGGTTGTCCCAGGGAGTTGCTAGGTCCTTAGAGATGACACGATTCCAAGCCAATGGCCCTCACTGGCCATCTAGTCCAGCCTGCATCCACCCACCTTACAGACGGGGAAAAAGCCCAGTGTCCAACCTCCCTCATGCCCTGAGGTGTGACCCAAAGGTGCAAACCTGCTGTCTGCCCCCCTCTGTAACATGAGGGGAAGCGGATTAGAGCCATGAGTGGGCCCTTAAATCTCCAGGATTAACTCGCGCACAGAGGAGCTTAGCAGGTGGCCAAGAAGTGACCATCCCGCCTCGTGTCTGTGTCTGTCCTGCAGGGCCGGCGGCCGAGGCCAGCGGCTCCCGGGCCAGCGCCATGTCCTCCACGGTGAACAACGGGGCGGCTGGCATGCCGTCCCCGCCCGACGCCGCGAACGGCTTCCCGCAGCCCGGCGCCTCTTCGGGGGCCTGGCCGCGGGCAGAGGACGAGCTGCGCGCCACGGAGCCGGGCCTGGTGAAGCGCGCGCACCGCGAGATCCTGGACCACGAGCGCAAGCGGCGCGTGGAGCTCAAGTGCATGGAGCTGCAGGAGATGATGGAGGAGCAGGGGTGAGCGGGGCGGGGGTGGGGCCGCGGGCGGAGTCGGGCGAGCTCGGGAGCCTTGTCCAGAGAAGGGGCCAAGAGTCCGCACTAGTTGGAGTGGAACCATTGTAAACCCAGCCTACTTTTCATTTATTTATTGGTTTATTCAATTGGTAAGTTGTCTTTGACCGCCTGCTCTGTGTGAAGCTCTGAAGTGGGCTCTGATTCAGTCCCTGCCCTCCAGAAACATCGGGTCCGGTAGGGGAGAGAGGATTGTAAACATCAGCGACAACTGGAGCCCGGCTGTAAAATGCGTGGATCACACTGCCGAGCTGGTACTGCAGCCGGGCGAGAGAGCGCAACGGGCCCTTACTGTGTGTTGAGGGCTGCCCGCCGTGTCTGCACAGGAATCACGGCTGCCTCACCCACAGACTCAGGTTTCACCCTATCCAGTTCAGAACCAGGCAGTGTGCTGGACCACACTGGGACCCAGGACCGAACTGGAGCCACTTCCTGTCCTCAAAGACCACCCCTGACCCCACCATCTCAGAACAGAAACAGGCATGTTAACAACCAACTTGGTCACAAAACAGATTAGAATGATGGTGACAGGACAGGGCAGGAGAGGGCCGAGTGTTTCAGGAGCTCAGGGGAGGGATTCTGAGAGCGAGAGGGAAGGCTGTCGGAAGACATTTGAACAGGCCCTGAAGGATGAGTAGGAGTTTGTCAGACGGAGGAGGAGGGGGTGTGGGAGATCCCCAACCACTCAGTATGTCCATCAGTCAGTAAGGGTTTAGGGACCCCCTCCCCAAATCTGGTGGAGACAAGACAGCCCTCACACATGGAGCTGGAGCAAACAGAGAACAAGTCTGTCCCCTGTGTGCAGCTCCAAGGAAAACTGGTGAGTGCCCGGGCTCTGGCATCTGCCCCGAGTGCTTTGAGACCAGTGGGCTGGCTGCTGAGGGCACCGACCTGGGGGGCAAGGCCTGCGCGTCAGGCTTGCACTGTCAGGGAGCTGAGAAATCAGAAACTCCTGCACAAGGGTTGGGGCCTGGAGCCATACGGGGCCAGACGCAGCCTGTGCACAGCAATCCTTCAAGCCGCAACTTTGCTTGCCCTCTGAGGCCTGCTGGGCTCCCCAAGACATGGGCCACTGTCTCTGTAGAGCTCAGGAAGGCACCAAGGCTCAGACAGAGACAGTCACTTGCTGAAGGCCACTGGGAAGGCGGGGGCAGGGCTGAGCCTGGATCCAGAGTCCCGGCTGGCTGCCAGGCAGGGCTGCTTGCAGAGGGAAGAAAGGGACACAGGGACCTAGTACTCATGTGCAGCTAGGGACCAAGTAGGGCTGAGGCGACTCCTTACAGAGAGGGATGGATGCGCTGATGGGGGGACACTGAGGACAGAGGAAAAGGAGGCCTCCAGCCGGCAAGGAAACATGTTTGATGAGCCACAGGTATGGGAAGAGGAAATGAGACTGCAAGGGTTGAGCAGGGCAAGGAGCAGGGTATCCTTCTGTAGGGAGCCCCCCAGGACCTGGATGAAACTGCAGGACCTGCTTCTGGGTGGGGAGACTCAAGGAGGGAGGGAGGGTGGGTGGGGATAGGCAGGAACAGCCTTCTGCACTTCCCTGCCCCCTCTCCCAAGACTCCTTTTCCCAAGACCCCCTCTCCCCAAACCCACCCCTTTCCTGAGCCCCTCACCCCTCACTAAGCCCCCTCCTCTTCACTGGCCCCCTATGGCCCCTTCCTCACCACCCCTCCACCTCCCCAAGCAGAGGGTGATGGCATTTGGCCATGTCCTGAGTGTTAGACCTCCAGTGTCAAGGACCCTGCCTCTCTAGGAAGCACCCGCTAGGTCTCCAGGTGCTCAGTCAGGGCCACCTCCCCACCCCAGCCCTCACTCAGGTCATCCTGAGCCTGGCGCCTCCCCAGGCGGGCCCATGAGTGACCAACCCGGCCCTCCCTGTCCTTCAGCACATCCATGCTGAGACGCAGCAATCCAAGCTTCCAGCCCCAGCCTGACATGGGACAAGCCACAGTTTACTCACCTGTAAAATAGGGACACCTGTCTCCTGGAGTTGTTCTGAGAGTCCTTGGATGAATGCACAAACAGGACGGCCCAGCCCCCAGCCAGTCCCCACAAAGTGCTCAATAAACACAGGGACCCTTGCTCTTTTATGAAATTGAGTCATTAATATCCATTTCTAGAAACACTGGCTTGTTCACGTTTATTTACTGCGTTCTCGAGCATTTGATAAATATTCCCACCAGTCACAGGAACACATGCTCTTTGGCCCCATTAAAAAGCAATCCCTTTCCTTAACATTGATGGATGGCTGGTAATCCTCGGTGACCGATGGTGCACTTGGAGTCACCTTCTCAGGCAGCCTCAGCCTGCAGTCACTGCGGGGGCAGGGACAGAGCCCCCAGGCTTGGTGGCATGAGTGAGGCTCCCACCCCAGCCCCCAGCCCCCCTTGCTACCTTCTTGCCATGCCCCTTCTTTCGAGGACACAGGTGAGGTGACAGAGTGGGGCTCTGCCCCTAGCTAAGCTTGGAGCTTTGAGCCCTCCCCTCTCCCTGTTGTGTTTGCTCCTCTGTAAAATGGGAACAATGAGGCCACTGTCCTCCTCAGAGCTGTGGCAAAGGGAGCAATTATCCTGGAAGCGCTGGGTCTGGGGATAGACAGGGAAAATTTGACATTTTCCACTCCAGGGGCCTCTGAAAATGTGGTGCCCCCTTACTGCACCCCTGCCCCAGAGACTGACCCAGGAAGTCCCCAAAGCCACAATAAATTTGGCATGTCCTTGCCTCGTGGCCCAAAGACTGGAATGAGGATCCAGGGAGGCAGGAGGCAGGAGGCTGGGGTCACTGGGACAGACATCATTGCTCCCCGACTCCCTCTCCCCTGCCACACGCACAAGCCCTTGACTTTGAGTCTGAGGCCTGGCCATGCCAGCCAGCCTCCTGCATGGCCTTATGTTGGCCAGCTCTGCCACCTCCACAGGGAGTGGGCGGTTTGGGTAGCAGCTGCCCCCTCCCTCTCAGCCTTTGCATCCTGGGAGAGCAGAGAGAGAGGAGGCCCAGGTGATTCCCAAATCCCAGGTACCGTGCTGACCTGGCTGGGGTCTCAGGAGGGAAAGGCAGGGAGCCTCTGTCCCCACTGCTCTGGGACAAATAAGCCTCAATAGCTATCATTTCCGAGCACCTCCTATGTGCCAGGCACTGTGCAAAGTGCTATAAGTGCATCACCTCTCTGAATCCTCTGACGACCTAGAAGCAGGCGTGTTCCCATTTCACAGCTGTAGATGCCAAGGTGAGGACAAGCGATGGACTTGCCCCAGATCACAGAGCTGGGAAGTGGGAGGTGCCAGGATTCAAAAACAGGACTGGCCAGCTCTTCTGACTGTCCCCTTCCTCACTGTCCCCTGTGGCCTCAGCTGAGAGTGTTGACCTCGAGAGAGGGGAGGGGGAGGGAGACTCCAAGGTGGTGGTCACCCTTGAGACTCTTTGTCCAATAGCCAGATGTCATCCCTGGGTGCCCAGCTTCTCCCAGCAAGATGCCCTGGGGCATAGAAGGACCTGCCCCAAGCCTCTGAGTTGTTCAGTCTAGCACCCGCCTTATCCAGCCGGCTCCCAGCAGGCAGGCGCTGGAGTTGGGCAACTTGCCTCAGCCCTGCTGGCTTGGGGAGGAGTCCTCCGCCCCGCGGGCCCTGCATGCGTGCTGCCCCAGGTCTCCAGGAAACCCTGGGGTCTGCTCCCACCTCCTAGTCTTCACATGTGCCAAGACCCCCAGGCACAGGGGCCCAGCCAGTCTCTGTCTCCCCCCCAGGGGTCTGTGAGTTGGGGCCTGGGCAGAGTTGAAGGGTCTGTTCTGTGTTTGTCTCTGTGCTGGTGACAGTGTCAAGCTAGTCTCCAGAGGAGGTGAGGTGTGTCTCTGCTGCTCAGAGAGGGGCCGCCACCCCTTCTGCCTGGGTGCCAGACCTGCCCAGGGAGTGCGCGGTGCCCAGACTGAGTGCCGGAGCCCCAGCCCACACAGGGGCTGAGGTGGACACTGAGGAGCCAGGGCTTGAGCTTGGCTGTCCTTACTCCCACCATGCCAGGCCCCAGCCCTCCCCATGGTGAGTACATAGCAGCCTGAACCTACAGAGAGTCGGACCCTAGCCGGGGTCAGGGGACACCTGGTTAGGAAGTAGGCAGAGCTCCTCTTCCAAACATCCCCCTGACTCATCCGACCGGTCCTCAAGTCCTAGCCATTCTCCCTCCTAGATGGTTTTTTGTCCATTCCTTTCTCTCCATCCCAAGACCGCTCTCTCGCTCTCACTTGACCCTCTCCTCCTGAACCCCACAGTGGCCCGACGCTGGCCTCCCTGCTCCAGGCCCCTTTTCTCCCATGCACAGCCACCAGAGCCATCCTTCCAAAATGCAAACCCAACCTGCAAACTCTCCAGTGCCTCTCCATCACCACTCACTCATTGACCAAAAATTTTGGATGCCACAATGTGGCAGGCACTGTGCCAGGCGTTGGGTCCACTGCTGCAAACCAGACAGACCAGGCCCCTGCCCTCAGGGAACCCCAGGCCAGCGCAGGATCCAGACCAGTCACCAGATAATTACTAGAGCGTGAAGCACCTGCCAGGAGCTGAGAGGTGTAGGTCGCTATGGAAACGCAAGGCTGGCATCGAACCTGGTGTGTTGGGGGGTGGGAATCCATCATGCTGTAAACATCCAAGGATTCAATCTTTGTGCTTGGCCATGATTCTTTCCACAGGGTAAACCTGGAAGTCAATTTTTGCGTCAAAGGATGTGTTTATTTTTTTAAGGCTTTTGAAGGGAATTGCCAAATTGCTCTCCTGCAAATGTTTGTTGAAGGAGTGGAAGGAAGAAGGGAGGAGAGAGATGGGATTCCCGAGAAGGAACAATATACCATTTTCATGGATGGCTGAGTGGGAGGGCTGGCCCTGCCCTGGGGACAGAGCGGATGGTGAGCAGAGACAGAGATAAGACCCTTGTTCCTATTCTGCCACCGTGTCTTCTGTCCAGGACTTGCAGCCCAGGAAGGGCAGAGAGAGGGGTCTGGGACCCCAAGATTGATTCAGTAACAGCCACTGGGCACCTGCTATGTGGCAGGCACAGGGTCAGGAGCTGTGTGAGCAAAGATCCTCCAGGGGCAGCATAGACACTGGCTGGATGGGGAGAACCTGGAGGGAAGGGGAGGCCGGGCAGCAGCGCCTGTCACAGTGATGCAATGAGAGAGAATGATGATAGACCCCAGGTGTGAGAACAAGGATGATGAGCAGATAATTCTGGACTTTGGTTCCTGGCTGAGACTGAGCTCAGGGCCGGAGGGAGGGAGAGGAGAGCAGAGAAGTCAGGAGGTTCCCTTGAGGCCCAGACTTCAGGCACTCCCACCAGAGCCAGCAGCAGAGGGAAGCAATGAAAGCAGCACTGGGACCTCAGGTGAGCCATTTGGCAGCCTTGCTCCTGCAGAGATGGGGGTGCTTCGCAGACCCCCCAGGCTGACATCTGGCCCAAGGAGCACACATCACTGAGGCCAGGAAGGCAGAAAAGGCCGTGTATGTCTGCAAGCCAGGATTCTCTCTTCTCCCCTAAAATGTCTCAGAAGAGTGACTGCAGTGTGAGTGTGGGAGGGAGGCTGTCCCGGGGTGGAGGAGAGCAAGGAGGAGGGGCTCCGCCTCATCTCCTCTCTCCCGCCTCTCACCTCTTGGAACAACTCTTCCTTTTGGTCGTCTGTCTGTTTAGTTGGTTGGTTGGCTGGGCTGGTATAGAATGGGCAAGCCTTGAACTTCCTCCGTACTGAGAGCCTGGCTTGATCTGTGACCTTGGACAGGTGACTACAAGCCTGAGTGTGTGCTTGTGACCAAGGGATGGGGGACTGGGCTGAGCCATGTTGGGGGGTGGCAGGAGGGAACCAAGCCAGCAGAGCAGCCCTCATCCTCCCTGTGACACTGCAGGTATTCGGAGGAGGAGATCCGGCAGAAGGTGGGGACATTCCGGCAGATGCTGATGGAGAAGGAGGGAGTGCTCACCAGGGAGGACCGGCCTGGGGGCCACATGTGAGTGCTCACCTGCGTGGGGGTGGAGGAGGGGGGTGCAGGTGCTCCCTCAGGTGCTTGGGGCTGGGCTGGGGCTCAGGTGAGGAGGTGGGGAGGAAGAAGAGAAAGAGGAGGAGAGAAAGGTGTGCCCTGCCCACTGGAAACTTTGGCCTGGCCCAGGGCACAAGGCAGGGGCACCTGGACATCTCCGCGGGCCTCTCCCTCCCACCCTGGGCTCTATTTATGGTTCAGCGGTGGGAAGGGTGAGTGAGAAAGCTCAGCTCTCAGCACAGGCAGTCCCAAAACTCAGCGTGCCTGATCTGTCCTCCTCTCTGGCCCCGAGGTGAGGGCCCAAAGCTGGTCCCCACCAACTCCTTCTCTTCAGCCTCCCAGAACTCACAGCACCTCTCAGCAACTCCTGCACCACCCACCACATCGAGGCGCCACAAGAGCAGTGCCAGCATCTCCCTTTTCAAACCTCCTGAAAGCAGATTCTCTCCACTGCTACCCAAGCACCTACAAACCCAGGAGGTCCTAGCTTTCTGAATCACACCCCCTGATATAGCTCCAGAGCTTCCCTGGGAAGTCACCCAACCTTTCCTCTTCCACCCTGTGTGAGGGAGAGAGGCCGTCTCTGGATTCTCCTTTGTCACCTTCTCGGGGCCCCTTCAGCAACAGCCACCTCCCCCAGCTCAAGCCCGCACTTCACTCTGCCAGGTTCCTTCCTCTTAACCTAATTCATGTCCTAAAAAAGACGTCCCTCCCTCAACTCTGCTTTCTCCTTCAGCTACCATCCCACGTTTTTCTCTCCTTTCTCAACCAAATTTCTGTAAACAGTGTGCAGCACCCATGGCCACTACTTCCTTAAGCCGTGACCATCTGGCTCCCTCCCTCATGACTCCCATGACCTGCTTGGGCCATGGCCACCAGGTCCTATTGACCACAGCCAATAGCTTCTCTGCAGGCCCTGGCCTCTCTCTGGCATCTGCTGTCATTGTGCCTTCCCTTCTGAAAGCCTACTTCCCCCACTGGGTCCCAAGATGCAGTTCTCTGTGAGTTTCTTCCTGTCCCTCTGACAACTTCTGCTGTCAACCCTCCTCCTGCCCACTTCCCAGAGGCTGGTTTTCCCCAAGGTGCTGTCATGTCCTCAGTTCTCTTCCCCATCTCTGCCTTACTTCGCCCTGGGAGATCACATCCATTCCCCAGCTGGAACTTTCTCCCTTTAGTGGAAGACTCTCAAATCTTCTCCATCAGTCCTGATCTTCTCTTTATGTGAACAAATGAATGTGATTTTAAGAATCAAGACCCACTGGGAAATATGGCATAGAGAGATTGCAGTGTCTCCATCATCGGGAGAGATCTCCTTCGTTGTCTGTGCTGCCTGCCTAACCCTGTGCTGGCGGTCATAGGGTGGGAGGAGAGGACAGGAAGACGTGATCCCTGCTTTCTGGCTGGAAACACAAACCTCCAATCTAAAACCAGGACTTACTGGCAACTCCCGACAAAAAGAAATAGCGTAGCCACTCGGACTGCTTAGACTTCACGCCCTGTGCATGCTAAGTACGGGAAGAGATGGGGACAGACTTGGGCACTCAGTCAAGAAGAGCTCCCTGGAAGAGGCAGTGCCTAGAAGACTCGATGGTCAGGGAGAATTTGACGATCAGGGAAACTTGATAAGATGTTCTGGAGACAGGAGATAGGATAGACTTAGTAGGGTCCTAGGATCCCACTAGAATGTCAGTTCCAGGAGAACAGGATCTTTGTTGGTGTTGTTTACTGCTGTGTCCCTGGTTCTGGAAGAGCGTGGCCTTTCCAGTTTTCCCCAAAACCCTCAGTTTCCCTGTTTGTGCAATAAGGGGATTGAACCGGAAGACTTATTCTAGCTCAGGCCGCCTAAAATGGTATGAAAATCCTACTCCAATGACTGCAGCAAGCTAAAGAGGCTGATGACCTGGATTAGGCAAAGGCTTGGGCTCTGTCCTTGGTGCTGAACCTCAGGCTGTCTTGGCCCGAGGCAGAGGTGAGGGTTGGGGGTGAGGGAGGGCTGGTGACAAATTGGTCATGTTCCTTCATGTGGACCTGGCATCTGGCCACTTCACTGATCACCCCAGGATAAAAGTAAACTCTTCTCCTCACTGGAGCACATTCAATGTTTTCCCTACTTCTCATGACTGCCATAAATTCTTTTTATTTTTTCCAGTCCAATAAACAACCTTCAAGAATAATTGTTTCCATAGTTAGAAAATATAACAAAATTGCCCAGGTGTGATGGCTCACGCCTGTAGTCCTAGTACTCTGGGAGGCTGAGGAGGGAGGATCGCTTGAGGTCAGGAATTCGAGACCAGCCTCAGCAAGAGCAAGAGCGAGACCCCGTCTCTACTAAAAATAGAAAGAAATTAGCTGGACAACTAAAAATATATATATAAAAAATTAGCCAGGCATGGTGGTGCATGCCTGTAGTCCCAGCTACTTGGGAGGCTGAGGCTGTTGGATCGCTTGAGCCCAGGAGTTGGAGGTTGCTGAGAGCTAGGCTGACGCCACAGCACTCTAGCCCAGGCAACGGAACGAGACTCCGTCTCAAAAAAAAAAAGAAAGTGTAACAAAATGTTTGGGAGAGAAAGTTTGTGGAAAACAATACTCACAAGCTACTTCCTAACACAAACACAGTGAGCAAAGTCCAGCCTTTTTTTTCCCTATGTACCTAATTTTATACATAGTGTGACCTCGCTGTGCCTATGGACATATTAATGATTTTAAGATGGGAATATTATTGCTAATAGACAATATAGTTGACAGAAATATTATTTAAAAATTAAAATATATAAAAGAAAAAATAAATAAAAGTTGGGAATATTAATGATATTAACAAGCCCCACATCATAGGCTTGTTCTGAGCATTAAATGACTAAATAAGATAAATACATGTAAAGTGCTCAGGATAGTAGCTGGCACCTGGATTAGAAATTATCATAATATGCACCATGTGGTATTTTGCCCTGCACTGTAAGGAGCGAGGGAAGGGGCTCTGGGCCTGACTCATCCCTTTCCCCTCATCAGTACCCCTGCCCAGGGACCCTGGCAGGCCCATGCTAGCCAAGTGAATAAGCAGAGAGGGCAGACCCTTTGCCTGGAATCGCACCCCCTCCTCTATCTGGACCCATTCATCTTTCAATTGGCCATTATGCTCCTGGCTAATGGGAAACAAAACCAGTTAATTAGTAAGACTGCTGGCATGCGAAAGTGCATGCCATAGGCAGTCTCCACCAAGGTCAGAGCCCCACCCATAGTGGCTGGTCCAGCATGCGTCCTCTGTGGTGCTCTGTGTTCCCCCTCGATATGGTCTTTGTCCCTCTGCAGCAGACTCTCTGGATGCCCTTTGGTCAGCTCTGTGGGGCTTGGTTTATTTTCATGGGGGGGCAACACCTCCCTAGCCTACTCCGCAGACATGATGAGGAATAAACTAGATAGCAATCATGAATTTAAGAGCATAAAATGTTAAACAAATCTAGAACTCAGAGCACATAGCTACAGCTGTATCTATAAAGTAGGGAGGGGACGACTCAGCTAAAAGACCTAACTTAGCTAACATCTCCAGCAAGGAAGGTCAGACAGCCAATTCAAGGGCTGTCCTGTTTGCACATGAATCCTCAGAGCCAGCTCTATAGGTGAACTTACATGCCCTACCCAAAGGTCCCAATACTATAGGTAATGTTCCTTTCCCTCTCTGGGCCTCAGTTTTCTCATCTGTAAAGCTGGCGGTGGGCGGGGGGAGGGAACTTCTGTAAATCAGGAAGCGGCTATGAATGGCATTGTGAACTCTGAAGCACTATTTAAACATTGGATCCCAGCACTCTGGGAGGCCGAGGCAGGAGGATTACTTGAGCTCAGGAGTTCGAGACCAGCCTGAGCAAGAGCGAGACCCCGTCTATACTATAAATAGAAAGAGATTAGCCAAACAACAAAAAATAGAAAAAAAAAATTAGCCAGGCACGGTGGCGCGTGCCTGTAGTCCCAGCTACCTGGGAAGCTGAGGCAGGAGGATCGCTTGAGTCCAGGAATTTGAGGTTGCTGTGAGCTAGGCTGACGCCATGGCACTCTACCCAAGGTGACAAAGTGAGACTCTTGTCTCGAAAATAAATAAATAAGTAAACATTGGAGAATCTTCTTTTTTTCTAAGCCCTGGAAGAGCCCTGAAAGCAGATGTCGTGGTACCCGCAGCACAGAGCTGGCAGAAAAGGCCTCAGCCAAGGTCCATTTTTATCCCTGGAACTCCCAGGACAAGGCTTATCAGAAGGCTCTGAGATCTTGTGCCTCTCTCTGAGCCTGCTGCTCCTACCCTGTGCCTATCTTTCAATGCTCCCAGCAGACAAGATCCCAAATGAACCCCCTAGCAGGGACAGGAGAATGACAGGGACCCTCTTGGGAAGGGCAGATGCAGGAGAGCAGCTAAAGGAGGGTGAGGAGGTCTGTCCCCAGGACAGAGGAAGAAAGGAAAGATGTCTGTTGGGGTGCAGCCAGTGAGGGCAAGGAGGTACAGGAAGGCGGGGTTCAGAACGAAGGAGTTTCAGAAAGGGCCTGGACTCAGTGGCTGACCCAGGCTGGGAAGTGAGAAGGAAAGGAGGGATCCCGCAATACCCTAACTGAGCTATTTTATTTTGTAAATAACCATCATTTTTTGTGTCGGTATCAACTGAAGCTCCCTCCTCCCACCGGCTCGCCCACACAGTATTCGAGGTGCCCTTCAGTTTTGCTGAAGACTGTGTTTTGTGTGTTGGGTATGTGTGTGGCTGAGGAGCCATGTAGGGGGTGATGGCCCCTGGGAGGATGTGGGGGCCGGACAGGCTGAGGGAGTTGGAGATTTCAGGGACAGGGGCAGGAGGTAGGAGGCCACTGGCTTCAGGAAAAGGAGCAAGGGAGAAGAACAGCGGGGTTCGAATGAATGGATGTGGGGGTGTCTGGCTCTGCAGGGGCAAGGGGGTGACATGAGCCTCTCCTCCTTCACCGCCCAAAAACCTCCCTCCTACTTGTATGACTTCAAGGCTGTCAGGGTCAGCTTGACATTTGGGAATATAACAGCATTCTTGGGAATGGCCTCAAGACTAGCTAACCCTGTCATATTTGGTTACATTCTTTTTTTTTTAAGTACAAAATCAATCTTCAAAGATCCATTAGTGGGTTCCCTAAAAAGTCTCCCTTCACACTGTAGCTATACCCTGCGTCCCTTCACTCTGTCTCTTTTTCATATGTCACAGCCTCTTTTCTCCCCAGAAAGGTGTTGGTGTTTAAGCACCAACAGAGTCCCCTCTGTCTAACAGGGCTACCTGGTGCGGGACAGCAGTCTCGGGCCAGGCCTCAGGTCAGGGGCTTCACAGACTGAATCTTACTTAACCTTCTCCTCAACGCTGGGATGCTCTTTTCCTGGTTGTATAGATAAGGACTCAAGGCTCCACGAGCGTGGACCTTCCTGGATTCAAACTTGTCTGTGTCAATCCAAAGCTTGGGTCCTTAGTGCTCTGCCATGCAAGCCCTGGCCTCCCTTGCTCTGGGCGGGGACAGGGTGAGCCAGGGGGCCGGTGCCCAGGAGTGAGGGTACATCTGCTGAAACCAGGCTGAGCCTCACCTGGGAGGGCACTGTCTGAGCCAGCATGGATGAAAAATGGAAGGTGGAGGCCACCACCCTGGAGCCCATCACCCTGGAGCCAGGCCTCTGGAGGAGCAATTCTGGGCTTGTTCAATATAACAAAAGAAACTGCACAGCACCCAACAGCCTGGAACATAGTTATCAGTCTCACCTTGGAGAAGAAGCTCACAGAGGAGCAAGACAGGCCACAGGTCACACAGCGACTCAGAGACAGTGCATGATGTGTGCTTGTCTGGGGCTTCAAAGCTGGTGCTCTTGCCTTAAGCCCAGCTGCCTCTAGGAAAAGAAGCGTTCTGAGAAGGGCCCGCAGGAACAAGCGTCTTCGGCAGACGACGGCTGGGGGCTCCACAGCCTGGAGCAGGGACAGGATGCAGCCAGTCCCTGCTGAGTGAAAAAGAGAGTTCTGCAAGATGGATGGGGAGCATGGGAGGCCTGCACTCTCCGCCACCGGGCTGTGATTGATGAGGACAGCCCGGCAGCGGGAGCCTCGCGGGAGCCGAGCGGCGAGCCCTCGGAGGCTACAGGGGGGCAGGCAGCGAGGAGAAGCTATGAATATTTCAGAGACCGAGGCCAGGGCTGGAGGAGAGGAGGGGAACTGGGGGGGAGGGGGAGGGGAAGGGAGGCATCCAGAGGGGAGGGGGCTCAGGGACTGGGCCAGGAAAGGAAAGACAGAG